GTTCCACACTATACTGAATTTATTCACCTTAAAACAACTGATAGCTCTCTTATTACTTTCAAACACTAGCCAGGTTTTTTTTTAAAAAAGGTTAAAATATATTACACAGTGTGAAAGCAAAATAGTTTTAGTGCCAGGACATGTGTAGAGTTCCTGCTGAACCAAGCTGCTCAGTAGCAAATGGTAGCCAAGATATTGTGTTTGCTTGCTCTCTTTTTTGTTTGATAAGCAAGGTATTTTTAGAGCAACATATGGCATAATACTAACATCGTCTAGGATAGAGCTGCACAGCATTAATTCCTCAAAGTACATAAATCATAATACAAAATATTTTTAAATTCTTAAATATACACTCTTAGCATTAAGAGTCTGTAGTCAACATTACTGAAATTTAGTTCCAGCTCACATCTGTTGTGCCATACTCTGTTGTGTATCCTCAGGATTTCAGAACTATTCCCCTATGGACCTAATCCAAGAGGCATGATGGGCATTCAAAAGTTTAGAAACTTACTGCATATGTTTCAAAGATATATGCAGAAGTAATGAAAATGACACTAAAGTAGCCACACATATTTTAAATGATCTCCAACTATAAGATTAATAAAAAAAATCTAAGGCTCTGGATATCCTGGCTGTAACTCAAGAGCAGAAGCATTACAAGAAATGTTGCCCTCTAATACATAATATTTGAGCCAAATGGGATACTTAATTATGTCAATACTGCAACATCTAAATAAGGTAATAATTGGGAACAGCAGCTTGACTTTCATTTAGAGAAGCAGTCAGCTACTACAAACAAATTATTTGGGAAAGGTAGAGAAATGAGGTTCCTTCTCAGTGCTTGCAGCTGACACTATCAAATAATATTTTGTATATTCTGAAGCACCAATTCTAAATAGGACATCATACAAAAAAGGCAGGATTCAAAACCTTTTTCCAGCAAGGACCCCTTATTTGCCTTTCATCTGTGTACCTTGAAGACTGAAACCTGCCACATGCAGATTGTGGGATTCTCATAAAAAGATAACAAATTCTGAATATGACTGAATAACCACAATTTTTCAATACGTCACCCCACATTCTTTAAATTCTTCTTGAGACCATTTGCAAAGCATGCATTGATGGTGATGAAAAACAAAGTCTTCCTTTAAGATCATCACCCTCACCTAGGTATTAACAAGCATCTTTATGTTTTCATAGTTCATACAGGGTAAGTTAAATGTAATATTTAAATTTAGGCAGCTAAAGAGTTTTTGCAATGCATATGTAATTTTAGAACTGCCACCTTATCTAGTCGCAACATCATTTAAAGTAAACATGCCAAGTTAAAGCTACAAAATGAAAACATTTTCAAACAACACCAAATAGCAAAAGGTGTGACAAATTTGCCCAATTGTTTTTTATGGGAAAATATTTGCCAACATATGTTTAAAATAATAATCGTGCCATTTGGTGTTCTTAGTATTTAGTAAAGCTCCCAGGTGTATGGATGGCATAGTCATACTATAAACTTAAATTAGCTTTATTCTGAGTTAGTTTATATGCTGCTCTTTAAAAAAGCCTTCACAACATGGCTTACAAAAACTTAATACAAATATGGCTCAAAACAACCATAATGATGAAAGCTATTTAATTAGAATTGCAAAAACAAAGCAGCAGTATTTCAAAATAAAACCTAGCACAGGCCTTGAAATGAATTGGCAGGCAGTATTATATAGTACAGTACAGGTGTTATGTGTTCCAAATGCCTGATCCTGTCAAGCAACTGGGCAGCTGTGTTTCATAAAGTTGAAATTTCTGAACCATTTTCAAAAGCAACACCAAACAAGTCTGACTTATAATAACCCAGTCTGAACGCAGTGGAACTATCAATGCATACTCCCCAATAAATCTGGAACTGTCATTTGATGACAATGCTAAGAATTCTGTTGGAAATTAAGCCACACCGCCTCCAACTTCCAGAAGCACAAACTATGAAACAAGTTAAGTCTGTACTATTAACATACCTACTAAATGAACCATGGAATGAGTACTAGGCTCCCCCCTCAGAGAACATTCTCATGTCATAAATCCATCCCTCATCAACGTAAGCCATTTCTTAGTTGAAAAATCATATTTCTTTTTACAAAATAAATAAATAAATTATTATGTTGGCTTTTACTTTTATAGGATATTTAAAGAAAAGGAAGGTTTCGATCATATTTTAGAACCAATACATTAAATTAATATTGCCTGTACAATGTATCTATTTTGAGTCAAAATCAAATGTGCTTTATAAATTACTTTTATTTTATTTTACTCTTGACATAAACACAAGATATATCAATGTTTAGAATGTGAGTACTGCAAACATTGGGCAACATCCAATGAACAGACTTCCTTCTTATCTACTTTCTCCCCAAATCTGCTCTGGAGGACTCCTGGAGAATGGGGGGTGGGGGGAGTAACAAGTAAGAAGAAAGGAAGGGGAAATACCGTTGCACCAGTGGAAGTCCATTCCATGGCAGCCACAACTGGATGTCACTCATTATTTAGAAGGAAAATGCTATATGTTAGCTTGTCTTCATTGTTTTAATGGAAAAGTGACTTGTCATGCATGTCAGTCTAACACCTATGTTTCAGAAAGTCAATGTAGTAACCTATATAGCAATATATAGGTTACCATATTTGTCATTAGGCACCACAGAAGCATCTAATTATACTTTACACTTACTTCATGGAATGCAATAATAGACTACAATTAGCAGACATAAATGTCTCAAGAGAAGTCTGTCTGTCCACCTCTTTGGCTTTTCAGATATCAACTGGCAAGAAGCCTGTAGCTCCTTTCACACAGAAGAACCAGTAGGAACTAAGCAACTCTCCCTTTAACAGAATTAAGCTGCACAATGAAATCTGAAACCAAACCTCTTATTTGAATGGAAGGAGGCAAGCAGCACTGCATGCTCAAGAGCAGGAGGTATGCAGCACGGTATGGGGCCAAACAAACGGTAAAAAAATATACAGGATGGTATTGGGTTGAAATAGACCCCAACTTTTTATTGATTACAGATGTAAATAGACATAGGCAAAGGCATTGGGTATGAATCCAGAATTAATCAACCTGCCTACTGGTTGGTCAATGGGATGGGTCATCCCTGGGATGAGAGTCACCCCTTGACATATATCAAGTTGGACGACCCACCAGGGCCGCCACTGAGAAAGGTGCTATGGCCTATTGGCCCCGTGTGTAGGCTCCTGGAAAGAAACACCCCATCCTATACCCTTTTAGGGGGAACACAATAGGCTAAAGATTCAAGCCAGTGCCATCTGCAAAAAGTTGTGACACTTGCTATGAGGTAGACCGGCCAATTTGTCTGCAAGAAAAATTAATTCATGGCTCTGAGAATAGTAACTAAGTGTTCCATAGCAAGGTCTTCACACTGGCTTGCCTGATCACATTTGAGCATGTCCATACATACACAGGGTGAGAAGGTGGGAAACCCCCAGAAGAACTGGGGCCCCAGGTACAGCCACAATTTATAGGATATCAGCAGGTTAAAGATAGGCTGCTGACACAACCTAACACTCTCTGATTGGCCCATTGGAAAGGACTCTTCGTGCCAAACCATGCAGCCAGAAGCGGAGGCTCTGGCATCCCCCAATGGCCATGCAGGAAAGATGGCCCAGAACCTCGCCACTGCCATGCAGCAAAGCGCTGCTTCCTCAAAGCTCTAGGTAAGCAGGTATTCTTAAAAGATTTTATTCTGCACTACTGAATATACTGGATTTTAAAATCAATCCCAACAGTAACTGTTTATTGTAATTTATTGCCTGAATTGGAAAATGTAACTTTAAAAGAGTGTTCCTTTGAAACCAGAAAACAAAGTGATTTCACTGCCCTTTAAGAGTCCAATTTATGCATTTAGAAGCAACAGCTTGGGGCAACCAACATAAAACAAAAAAGCTTCTATCTTCATAATCTGATACAGGATACAAGGTAAAGTGCATGTGCCAATTATTCAGTTGAGGCGGCATTTAACACCAAGACAAGTTCCATTCTACATTAAAATTTCAGAGCTTCTATTTTCCCCAGTTTCAGTTGTTGCAATTGATCTGCCCTGACATCTTAGATAACAAAACCAATGAAGGACACTGCTGCTTTAAATATTTCAGGGCTTATGTAGCTAGTAAATAGGCTCCATTGCAATATGGTTGTGAAGGTCATGTCCTATTGTATCTTTCCTCTGATAAGGCATAAAACTGAAGTTTAAGAAATTCATTCACACAAATATGTTCCCTGTATTTCTTAATCTTGCATGTTGCCATTAGAGATTTCCTTATTGAAAGCAAATGATACTCAAGTCAACACACATCCAAAACTCCTTCAAACCCACACCCTAAACACATTATCATGATTACACTTCAGCAATTTCAGCATTTTATTTGCATTCATCTGCCTGATTTTGCAAACCCAATCCTGCTGAACCTCATTTCTCAGGACTAATAAAGTAAAGCCCTTTAAAGCAGAAAGGGTTTGGCCCTTTAATATGCAGAAGGTAATTAACGAGATTCCTAAACTGTTCTCAGTTTTAGTCAGCCATTTAATTTCAAATTTGAAGCCAACTACTTTAATGGATCCATTAATGTTCCTATATTTCAGATTTAAAAATAAATAAATAATAATACTGTACCAATTAAAATACTGGAACATGATACACCCTAGTAAGAAGGGTGGGAAGAAAGGGAGCACCAAGAAGCAAATATTTCAGATCCTTAAAGTCAAAATTAAAGGGAAACAAAGAATATTGAATCACAACCTGACTCTAATTTTTACTTGAGATTTTTAACATATGTGAGTGCCCTCAGCTACTATATAGCTTGAATTATTTCAGTGAAAACAGCTAATGAAGTCAGGCATGTGCTAGAATGGCAAAAGCAGTGTTTGATGTAACACAGAATTATATTATGAGACAAATACTGAAATATCACTTCCCCTTTACTCAAATAAAAGACATTACCTGAAAAGGCAACAGATTGTTACCATTGTCAGTCCTGAAGGCGTTGTCTTCCATCCAGGATTTTGGGGTTAGGGGAGCAGCCCGTGGAAACTTTGGTGGGGCAATGACATTGCTAGAGAAGGGCTTCTTAAGAGGTGAAATGGGATTAAGTGGGGATGGCACTCCAACTCCCACTCCTACGCCAACACCCACACCTACTGCCCTTCGAGGGTCCCTGCCAGCTTGCAGCCCGCCCCAAGGATTGGAAGGTGTACTCCAGGCGGCATTTTGGTGGTTATTCCAGCTGGAAGGAGAAGAGGTGGAAGCTGAGGAGGAGGAAGGTTTGCTGGTCATGATGGGCTGATGGCTATAAGCAGCATTTCTCTGGGCAAAAGATGCCTGATTGGGGCTGACTGGCGATCTCCTTTGCTGCTGCTGGGCTTGCTGCTGCTGCTGTTGGTGGTGCTGAGTCTGAGCTAGGCCAATCTGGGGGGAGAAAGTGCCACCAAAAACTGGATTTACATGGTGAGGGAAATTCTGGAAAAGCATTGTCCCATTGACAGGGGTAATCCCTTGGAAAAAGCTATCATCCACTGCATTTGTGGTCCCAGTAGACCAGGTGCTTCCGAAGGAGGGAGACAAGGAGGTGCCGGCTGTAGGTTCCTGCTGAGGCTGGTGGAAACTTAAGCCTGGCAAGATGGGGGACTCCATCTGCATCTTTTCCTTGCTATTTTGGGCAGGAGCTGCTGAGCCGATGCTAGTCACTGGGCTGCTGTCCTCCTGTTTGGGTGTCTCTGACGTGATGGGCGTAGAAGGGGCTTCTGCTGCGTTTGGATCTTGCTGCTGCTGCTGCCGCTGCTGCTGGGGCTGGGCTTTGCTTTTGTCCATCAGTAAATCATCCTGCATGGTTTGCGCAGCTGAAACGAGAGGAAGAAGGGGAAAAATCCAGAAGACAGACTGTTAACATTCATATGGCTGCTTTAGCCTTCGCCTCTGCTGCTTGCAAGAATGCCACTGCGAGCGTAACGCTGCCGCAAATTGCAAGGCACGACTAATACGTAATCCCTACCCCCACCCCTTTAGGAGTAACAGTTTGAATCAGTGTAATCGCTCCACGTCGCTTCTAAAAATACATTTAAAGATGTTTCACCCTTTTTGATGTCTTGGTTTCCTTCAGTGTAAAGGAAAGGTATGCTTATAGGGCAGAGATATACAGCAATTTCGCCACGTCTCTTTCTCATACACCGGAACTCAGAGCTCTCGCCCTGCAATGAGAAACTGATTCTGGTTCCTGTTTTTCCGTGCACCCTCCTCCTTCCTTGTTATTTGCATACGTCAATAAATACTGCTGCGTCCTTCAGCAAGGTTAAAAAGACAGCAGCCTTTACTCTCCCCCACCCCCTTTCCTATGAATAGACTTTTTAAAGGAGCCGTATACCCATTTCGCTTAATCAACAAACCGGTTCAACCAAATAATTAAAAACAGTTCAGGATCCACGATTTTAAAGCCCTGAATAAACGAAAAGAACTAAGCCAAACGGTATTTTTTTTAAGCTACTGAAGGGGTGGGAGGCATCTTACACGTAACTAGGGGATACAGTTTTGTTTGTTTTAATAGTCCTTTTGTCTCCCATGTTAAATATGGCATTTAATAATCCAAGAACTAAATTGCTTTGAGCAAAAAATACTGAAACCTTCAATCCCGCATAAACTAGGGAAAGTATTCAGACGCGTTAACACTTCCTTGTAGGCATCCTCCTGCTGCAGATTTTTCCACGCACAGGCATAAAACACTAATTAATTCATATTGCCAATATAAATCACCAGATTGTAATAATGACCATTTTGTCTTCTATCTATTGTTACTAAAGAGCATTCCCTACCTCTGCACCTATGAGAACGCTATCAGAGGAACAGCAAATAGTTAAATAGGCCAAACAAAAGACGGCCGTCGGGAAAAGACCTGAACAAATTCATAAATTAAACAGGCTTGTTTTAACAATATACTTTTCTCAAATAATATTGCAACCTTCAAAATCGAATGTATCTCTCAACGCTATTTAACTGCATCAGTAAAATAACCAATACTTAAACAGGGGTTGCTTTGAGAAGGGTGTGAAGAAATATGAAGGTAGTAACTTCCTCTCTCATAACCACTAAATTCAAAACATTCCTGAATTTAAAATCCCTCTTCATAACAGGTAATCAAGTGAAAACATCAACATTTTTAATGGACATAGAAGAAATATATTCAAGCAGTATTTTTTATTTTATTTTATTGCTGATCTGAGCACACAATCTAAAAATAATGCCTTGCAGGGAGTGCATAAAGAGAGTATTAAGCTAAATTCCTAATCCGAAAAGGAGCAAACTAGCGCATCTGTAGCACGCAGCTTTGCTGCTGCTGTAGGGGGTGCAGGGAAACCTTTAAAGCAGCACTGCAGCAAGCCATAATATAAAAGGCTTTGTGTAGTTTTCCATTAGCTGCGCTCCGATCAAAGTCACCACAACAGTAAAGGAAGAAAAATTAATACAATACATTTCATACAAAGAGGGACAATCAGATATATTGCTCTCCTCCTGTGTTTTAACAGCCAGTTTAGGAAATCATTTAAACAATAGCCAATAGTAACAGTAAAACTATTGCTTCCAATATAGCAGATAAGCTGTGCTACAACAATTTTAAGGTATTTTTAATCAACTTCATATTGAGACACTAGCTAGCATTATTTCCCCCATCGCTTCTTATACGTACGATTTCACTACAGATCTACCCCTCTGTCAAGGTCAATACCTAACCATTACGTGCACGCAGGCAAACTGAAGAGAGGCAAATTGGGTATTACTCGGAAAAATAGGCAGCTAAATACCTAGCATTGGGCTGGTATGCGGCGCCTCCTGTTTCCTCCACCCCCTTTCCCCCCGTGTATTTGTGCCCGTCTAAACTACTGTACATGAAAATCAAATACTCCCATAATACTTCGTTTGCATGCAGTAACCCGCTTAGCCGCCGATAACAGTTACCTTTTGAGTATTCTGTATTTAAAGATCAATAAAAGGAAGGGACAGTGTGTCTATTTCCTTCTTTCGGGTTTGGTATATGACAAATAGAAATTGCTCTGGCAAGAGCACTTTGACAACTGTAAGCAGAAGACGCATGTGCAACCGCGGAATTGTGGGGATTGAAGTCTTTCCTTGAACAGAGGCAAGCTGGGAGAAGAGTGCTCAAAGCACCGAGGCACGTTTGTAAAACTGAAAGAGCTTGCAGCTCTCTCATGGCTGAAAGCCTCTCGATCACTCTTCAGGAGGCAAAACTGGTTTAACAGGTACCTTTGGAGCCAAGCATTTTATTAGGCACGGGTCACTCTGATTTTAATTTAGATTTGGGTCAAGATGTTATTTATAATTTTTTTAGAGAGAGATTTGAGCCGCATCTAAATTAAGATCCAACAGAGTAATAGTGATCCAAAGTAAGCAACTGTAATACTAGCTAATTATTGGGTGTTTTTCAATTTTAAAAGGTACAACACAAAAACACCTGGTTGTCATAATAGATCAAATAAAAAAATCTATCCCGTACTTACTCCAACAGTGCACATCATACAACAGTAAGAAGATTACAAGCAAAGACAACCCCCCATGTCCAGGGTGTTTGTTTGTTTGTTTGTGTGTGTGTGTGTGTTATGTACATACATACACACAATCACAGCAAACAACTGTTATGCTCATCTTCCACCTAAGCATCTTCAGGTGTGTACAGTGGTACCTCGGGTTACATACGCTTCAGGTTACAGACTCCACTAACCCAGAAATAGTACCTTGGGTTAAGAACTTTGCTTCAGGATGAGAACAGAAATCGTGCTCCGGCGGCGCAGCAGCAGCAGCAGCAGGAGGCCCCATTAGCTAAAGTGGTGCTTCAGGTTAAGAACAGTTTCAAGTTAAGAACGGACCTCCGGAACAAATTAAGTACTTAACCCGAGGTACCACTGTATACTGCACTGCTGAAAAGGGGAAGGCAATTGACACAAAGTTTTATTTTCATCTTATTAATGGGAAGCAGGTTTCATATCGGTTTCTTCAAAATATTCTTACTGTTTAAGTTATTATAATGCCCTTCATTCTTAAAGCATATCCTAGTCAAATGCCTTGGATTCACATATAGCTTTTGGGCAGGGATAAATTTGGGTAACATATATTCCTGCAACAAAAGTGGCAGAAATGGAAATCCTTGTTTTTCAACACATCACATGTATCAGAATTCCTTTACTGTGCTTTAGATACCTACTTCCCAACCCCACAGTCCCAAAGGTTGTCAGGTTAGTCTGACTAACCAAAGTACAGCATCATCATAAATCACTTTAATTATCTCTCTTCCTGTGTTATGAATAATAATAGAATGGCGTGACTTTAATAAGCTAAGTTAAATGTACAAAATTGCATGTTTTCCCAATTACCAACCAATGAGCATTTTACTTCACAGTAGTACCTTGGAAAGACATATACCAAAGATTACTATGCTTAAGTAGCATTATGTACTGTTAATAAGATACAGGGCTTTTAAACAAGTTTGGATTTGGCTATGTTAGATTTCAGCCACCAATTGTTTATTCAGATGTCAATTCCAGAAAGTACAATCGGGCCTTTCTCCCATACAAACTATCATCTTCCATCTGCCTCTGATCTGAGGAAGGCAGTGGAAAGCCTGAATTAGTGCCTGGAAACTGTGAGAAGCTGGATGCCAATGAACAAACTTAATTCAGATAAGATGAAATAACTGTTTGTAGGATCTAGGATTACAAATACAACCTGTCATGGATGCAGCTGCACTCTTTCTGAAAATTCAGAATCACAGCGAGGGGGTATTCCTTCATGCTGCTTCTGAATTATCAGATCATGCCAGTTGACTAGAAATGCCTTTTACCAAGTTTGGTTACTATACCACATGTCCCCTTTCCTGGAGAGGGCATGCCTAACCACGTCAGTCTTGCTTCATTTGTAAACCATTCTGTATTATATTATTTTGGAACTAAAATAATAATAGGGAGCCAGACTGTAACCTGAAAAACAGGTGTTTATTTTTATGTGTAGGGATCAAACAAGAGACATAGTAGCAGCTGCTTCTGCCCACTCCTCCCCTAGGTCCTTTAATCCACCCCTCTCCCCTGCCTGCAGGAGCAGTGGTGGCTGGTGCCCAACGTGACTGGTAGGGTGGAATGCAAGAAGACCAACAGTAGGAGGAACCAAAGTGAATGGCAGACTGAGCCACCCTTGACTGGTTGTAAGTAAGAAGATGGCTATATAGGGGTTGAGTAAGGGCAGACTTGGGTTGGTAGGGTAGTGCCCCAATTGCCCCAATGGGTCAGCCTCCACTATGCAGAAGTGAACAGAAATCAGCCTTTGTATCCATCCCCGCCCCAAGATGGGGTTGTCTCCAAGGCAAGCTTAAGCCAAGACCATAAGACATTAATTGCCCCAACCACAGCATCATTTTTGCACTGAATAGAACATCCAAGAAAGTCAGCAGCAATGAAATAACTCTTGTTTGCATGCCTTCTCTTTTTCAGGTTAAAGGAGGTCCACTATGTCTTTTCATAATTATCTTCCAAGTCCTGGAACAGTGGACAAAAAGGACAAGGGAATAACAGACAGGATCCGCCCTGGCTAGCTTTTTTGTTGCTTGATCACTATGGCAAAAGGTATACCATTTATTTTCAACACTGACTGGCAGCAGCTGTCCAGGGTTCCAGGCTCAGAACATACCCAGCACTCTCTGGAGATACCACTGGGATTGAATCTGTATTCAGAAGGTTCCAGGATCAATGCCTGGTATCTGCATAAAAATGGATGGGGAAGGGAAAATATAAATGGTCTGAACCTGGTATAAGAGGACAACTTCTGGGGTGTGAGGGGATTAGGGGAGGGATGGTACCTCTACTGGGGGACACATCATGCTCCGTTGGGGGTAGTTTGAGAGTAAACTCTGAGGAAAAATCTGTGCCCACTGCCTTGTGGGACATCTTTGGAAGATGAAAAGGCCAAGGAGTTAACCCTACACAAACCTGGAGTGCAGTCCCTAAGATGGTTAGATGGTGCTTTCTACACCTCCTTACAACAACTCCTGCAGCTAAGCTTGTGCCAAATGTATTACTCTACTTTCCTTTGGACCACATCAACAAGGCTGAGAGAGGGGTCTTGTCATCTCAGCAGCCCAGGCTTGTGCCACGAGGAGGTCACTTTGGTGCTGCTTATGCAGCAGTTTGATTTCACCCCCGGAAGCACACTCTATTGCCTCTCGAGACAGACAGGTGCTGCCGCCAACTCAACAACAACTCATTCTCAATGCTGCAAGCTACATGCTAATATTCAAAATCTACAAAACTATCAGCTAATAGGAAAACAAATGAATTCTAACAAGCAGCTTTAAATAGAGCAAAACAATGTATCAGAAGGTTACACTTCTAGCATTCTGTAGAAGTATACCACTAGCATGACCCCCAAAGCAACTCCAATCTGCAGACAGAAATAACTAAGAATTGTTACAAACCCTAATAGCTAAATTGTTATACAAATTATTGCATCCCACTTTGTAGTTCTGCCATGTTTAACAATTGCAAAACCAATATCAATTACTATGTACAAATTAAAATTGATAGGAGATAAATTATCATGGAAACATAATGGAGTTTAATTCTTTCATAAAATTAACCAAACAGAAACATTAAAGGTAAAGGGACCCCTGACTGTTAGGTCCAGTCACGGACGACTCTGGGGTTGCGGCGCTCATCTTGCTTTATTGGCTATGGGAGCCGGCGTACAGCTTCTGGGTCATGTGGCCAGCATGACTAAGCTGCTTCTGGCGAACCAGAGCAGTGCACGGAAATGCCGTTTAACTTCCTGCCAGAGCGGTACCTATTTTTCTACTTGCACTTTGACGTGCTTTCAAACTGCTAGGGTGGCAGGAGCTGGGACAGAGCAACAGGAGCTATTAGGAACTGACTAATTTTAAGTTTTCACATTTGTAGAGTGCACCAATTTTGAAGCAAAAAGACAATTTTTGCACAGAAGTGTTTTGTTGAGTCTGAAATTATGGTGTTGTGATCCATTTGTTTGAGCATCAATATTATCAATATGTGGATAGCTCTACCACTTTTTCACCTTCTAATTCCAGTGTGGAAACACCTCAGCAGGTTCCAGTCCGATTACAGGACTGGAATGGATGAGGGCTAACAAAGTAAAAAAATAATCCAGGTTTTTCTTAAATATCATGGTTTGGAAAATCTAGTAATTAGAATGTTTAGATTTGACTCTGGATGGGGTCATACTCTTCTTGAAGAGCTAGTTACAAAGTCTCCAAGTGACATTAGGTGCCAGGAAGGTTTTCACCAGCTTCAGCTGGTTCAGCAGTTGCAGCCTTAACTAACCTGACCAGCCACAGTGATGCATGTACTCCCATTTCACTAAATCCCCCTAAGAGAAGCATGTTGCTACTTATTTCTATATCATATCTATGTACTTGGTTATCACTGTCTATATGCTAGTCTGCATGTTTAATCAAAATATTGAAAAAGATAAAAGGTAAAAAAGTGGCAGCATTCCTTTGGCTACTTTACAGAACATTATAGAAAGTAGGCCCCAATTGGTTAGGTTACTTAGTTACACCGTACTTCAAATTTGTAACATTTTCACATAAATTTACAGCCTGGGTGTTTGTCCCCTTTACTCAACATGAATACTGGTACGCAAACAATAATCTTTTACAAAAATGCCTCCAAGCTCCAGCACCCTCTTCCCAGGAGAAAAGTCTCCTGAATGGTACTTCTGTTGACTCAGAAATTGAGGTTGAGAAACACAGCCATAATAAAATGTTGGTTTCAATTACAGCCACAGCCTCCCCAATAAAAAAAGATTCCGAGAAGCCACAAAACTCATGAAAAGCATATTATTAACCAACTCGCAACACATACTCAAAGCGTATTTGCTTATTGCCTTTTGTTGAGGCAGGTGACCTTTTTTGTGGCAGGGTGGTGATGGTGGCAGCGGCAATTGTGTCATCTTTTGGCAAGAAAAGTAGCCATTCTCTATAGTGGTTCTGGCTAGTACTGTACAGTGAAGAGTTGGGTTGAAACCCCTCAGCTGGGAAACTCACTTGGTGACCATGGGTCAGTCACCCCCCTCTCAGCCTAACCTACCTCATAGTGGAGTTTGAAGGATAAAAGTGTGGGGCAGGGAGCTGGAAGGACCATTTGCGCAGAGGGAAAAGCCTCCTGGAGGAAAGGCTAAGTAGATCAAGGTAACAAACAAGTATACTGTACATGAAGTTCTTTAAGCGAGCACAGTCAGTCAAGGAGTCACAGCCCAGCCACCCCTTTGCCCCAAAAGGACGTCTATGACGAGGGGGGGTGGGAGAGAGTTGCCCCCCCTCCCCGCTGAATGCCCTGGGACAAAGGAGGCGCACCTGTACCAGTGGGGAAGGCAAGGCAAAGGGGGGCGAAGGAGCTTCAATGTGATGATGTAACCGAAAAATACCTCTCCCCACCCCACCTCACCCCACCACCGTCTCCGCACAGGGAGCGGGGGAAATGAGAGTTGTGGAAACACTCGCCCATCTCTCTCTGTTTCCTCCTCCCCAAGGAAGGAAGGGAGGGTGGGGAGCAAGGAGCAAGAACTGACAGCGTCGAGGTGTGTGCTGACCTTTCCCTCAGCGAGCGTAGCCATCTCGCCGCTCCCCCAGCCGAAGGCAAAACCCCAACCCCGGCCGGCCCGCGCTCTCACGCAGCGGCGGCGGCGGCGGCGGGCGAGGAGGAGCAGGGCAACGAGCAACTGTCGCGAGCGAGCGCGCCGTTAGAAGAAGGAGAAGAAGGCGGCAGGGGCGAGGGGGTTGGGAGGGGGAGGGAAAGGGGAATTTAAATCCCCCCCTCAGGGCCGGCGAAGAGCGGGAACTACATCTCCCATGGTGCCTTGGGCGCGCTCTGCGGTATCTCAGCTCGGAGTGGGCGAGAAGGGAACCAGGCGCAGCGGCGGTTCCTCTGTGAGGTAAGAGGGCCCCGCGCGTGCGCAGTTGCCCTCGCTCCTCCCCGCCCCTCGCCCGCTCCGAGGCTGCGGCTCTGTTGTGCCTCTCGCTCTCCTTGCCCCCCCCCTTTACCGGCCTAGGTCGCCGTCTAGTCAAAGGGGCACGTCACCGCTCGGAAGGAGAGCCTCCTGCCGCTTCCTCCTCCTCCTTCTCCTTGGCGGCAGGCTCTAGGCCTTGCTTCCCCCGACCGGCTCCTGGCGCCTGTCGTAGCCGAGCCCCCGGGCTCCCCGCACCCGGAGAGGATGTCGGAGCAGACGGGCTTGCTGATACCGCAGACCATGGACAGGTACGGGGAAAGAAGGGGAGCTGCGGGAGGTCAGGCGGGCCCGTTTCTAGGTGCGCCTTGAGGGGATGATTTTGGAGCAGGAACCGGGTCGAAGGGAAAGCACGCGTGGAGGCACCGCACCATCCTGGGCCGCGACGGCCTATATGCGTGCAGAAAGTCACGGGGGGGATTTGAGGGGAGCTGCTTGCCTGAGCGGATGTGGAAACGAGGGCTCAAAAAGAAACGCAGGGCTGTTTGTGTCTTTTTTTGGGGGGGGACAGGGGATTGGAGAGTTGCTGCTGTGTCCCCACCAGGAGCATTCTGAGGGTTAATGAGGCCTTGGGCCCACATAACACACACGCACCGTTTGCTGTCAAATGTCTTCCAGTAGAAACTGTTGCTAAGTTCACCTTGCAGTAATCTTAAAATTAGTAGCCCCTACAGTGCTGTTAAAAACATCTATGTCAACACCCACAACCCCTATTTTAGTACCTTACATATCTTGCATATAAAACAATGAGTTGTGATCATGGATGTTTCCACCACATGGAGCAACCTTGTGCTCATACTACCATTGCATGTCCGAGTAACCTTTTCTATGTCTTTGTCACTATCCTTCAGCACTGACCAGTTCAGAGTCCCCAGGCCTTCATTCCAAAAGAGTTTGAATTCTGTGGCCCAGAAGGACAGGAGTGCTACTGTTCTGGCTTCGTGGTTGCAGGGGAGAAGCAGAGAATACAGTGGTACCTCGCAAGACGAATGCCTCGCAAGACAAAAAACTCGCTAGACGAAAGGGTTTTTTGTTTTTTGAGCTGCTTCGCAAGACGATTTTCCCTATGGGCTTGCTTCGCAAGACGGAAACGTCTTGCAAGTTTGTTTCCTTTTTCTTAACACCGTTAATACAGTTGCGACTTGACTTCGAGGAGCAACTCATAGAACGCGGTGTGGTAGCCTTTTTTGAGGTTTTTAAAGCTTTTTGAGGTTTTTGAAGCTTTTCCAAAACTTTCCCGACACCGTGCTTCGCAAGACGAAAAAAATCACAAGACGACAAAACTCGCGGAACGAATTAATTTCGTCTTGCAAGGCACCACTGTAAAGATTAAGTTAGAAACCTAGTATGTGGAGGGTTGGGACAACTTTTCAAAGGATTCTTGTAGAGTTGAGATCCAGCTATATGACTGTAGCTTGCTGTACGATCTTTTCATTCCATAGTGTACTGCTACAGTGATCACTGTAGTTCCACAGTTTTTGTTGGCTTACCTTTTATCTACAGTAATAACATGTAAGAGACAGGTCCTGTTAGTAATTCTATATAAAGTATATTGCTTTTTTGTTGTGGTGGGTGGCATGATAATGGAAATAACCCAGAGCCTGTGCTTTTTTTCACCTAGTGACAGAAGGTAAATTCCCGTATCTTTGAGAACGGCCCTATTGAGTTGACTAAGGCAAAATGGTTACATTAGTCAATTCAGGAACCACAGTCTCATTTAATTGCATTCCAATAATACAGGCAACAATGAATTTATGTGTGTCCAACTGATGCACAACCATGATAGGGCATTGCAGCAACCTGGAAAGGGGGCAGAAGCGAAGCAGACATATGCATGCTCCGCCGCCACATGTGATAACCCAGAATGCAACTCCCACCCAGAATGCAACTCCCACACAAATCATGTGTTGCCTGTATTGTAGTTACTGGATATAAGGGATTGATACTGGGTGTTGATATGGGCTGTTGGAGGAGGGGTAGTACCTCTGGTGGGGGACACATCATGCTGTCTGGGGTGGTTTGTCCACCTTTGGTTCCCATCCTGCACTCAGTCCGCTCTCACCTGTGGCTCTTAGAAGCTGTCAGCATGCAGCAGTGGCCACACCTCAGGAAATGGCTTCAGCTGGCTGGCTAAAACAGCTGAGGGTAGTCAATGGGTCTCAAACCCTCAGTGTGTTAAGGACTTCCCCTGCACTTAAGTGCTGCTAGCACAGCAAAAGCAGTGCAGAAGTCTGCAGTTACAAGTTACTGGTTTCTGCAGCCATAACAGACACTGTGATTCACCGGTGGTTTGACTGCACCCTGGAGACACATTCCATTGGCTCTGGAGACAAGACAGATGCCAACTTAATAGATAAGTGGATTTTTTTGGTCACATTGTTTGAAGTGTATTAACAAATCAAGAGGAAACACTGTCATGAGCTATTGGCAGAAGTTGTATAGTGTACGATACCAATTGCTTGGGATATTGCTGTTGGTTTGTATCCACAAAATGAGAGATACAGCATAAGGACAATTCTTTATTGTACCACCTTGATGGAAATGGTTTCATTGGTTTTTAAAGAAGACTTTTAAGTTCATACTATTTAGGCTAAATCGTATATAGTATAGCAAAATAGAATTTGTAAGACTGAAGAAATGCATTGGTTTGCCTGCTTGCTTTTAGTTCATGTTAGCCGTCGTGCAAAACTCCTGAAGTTTTAATTAGCATTGACTTAACTAAACAAAGAGAATGCTAAATGAAATTTTGGAGAGGCAAATGCCAATGTACCAGTCCTTTTTTCTAGAAAAATAGGTGCTGGTACTCACCATGAAGTTGTTACAGTAAGTGCCTCACTTCTTAACAACAACAAAAGAGGTACTAGTACTGTGTACCCTTGAGTACCACCTGGGGGGGAAAGCACTGCAATGTAGTTGATCTTCATTTATCATATTTAGAAATGAGTCTTTCTTAGTGAATACAGGGGAATCACTCTCTTTTGGAAAGTTGTTGCCTTGCCTATCTTTGTGGTAGGAATGCCTTTTTTAAATGAATGTTGTGAGTTAGTAAGGCAACTTACATTACATGCAGCATTACATTACATCACATTACATACCTGATATATGTAACCTGATAAGGGGTGTGGGTGGTGCTGTGGTCTAAACCTTTGAGCCTCTTGGGCTTGGCAATCAGAAGGTCAGCAATTTGAATCTGCAACGGGGTGAGCTCCCATTGTTCTGTCCCAGCTTCTGCCAACCTAGCAGTTCGAAAGCATACCAGTGCAAGTAGATAAATAGGTACTGCCGTGGCGGGAAGGTAAAAGGCGTTTCCATGTGCTCTGGCATTCGTCATGGTTCTCTGTGCACCAGCAGCGGTTTAGTCATGCTGGCCACATGACCTGGAAAGCTGCCTGTGGACAAAAGTATCTCCATAGTTCAGATGGATCACTGCTGCTGAGAGTGGCTTGTCCAAGGCTACTTAGGTCACAGTTCTATACACAGATGTAGAATGCCCCATTGAATGCAATGGATGATGACTGAACCAAAGTTCAGGAGTTATGCTTTGCCAGCAAATTCTAACATCTGTCTCTTCTGCAGCCCTTCTTCATCTTTTATTGACTTCTCTAATGTGGAAATAGTTTCCTGTGACATAGAGAAAAACTGAGAAGATCCCCAGCCTGGTTCTTCCCCCTGCCCCATATAAAGTGTTATACTACAACCCATACTATCACTCCTCACTGTTGTCCATGCTCAAATTGTAGACCTCTAAACTTCTGGAGGACACCAGATTGGGGAAACCTGCCTTAGGCTACTTCTCTCCCCCTGGTGACTTTTGGCCTGGTTCAGATGTTTGCCTGTGTCTGTTTCCTAGTGGAAGTGCAGACATTCAGCAGCCCTTCCATCATGTTTGTAATGTACCATAGATACCTGCACGTATAGAGGCACAATAGCATTTTTCTCTCCAAAATGGGAGTGACAGTGTTTTTTCATTAAAAGAAAACAAGATTTGCCATTCAATAGAGAATAAGTATTGATTAGCTTAAATTTTAAAGCACTTCCCTGGGAGTAAGCTTGGTGGACTTTTAGGAGAATTGCTTCTAAATAGACATTCATCTGTAAGTGTTGGCAGAAGTTGTGTATTTGAAAATTATTATACAATGGGGAAAAAGGGGGCAATGATCACTCACATTAAAATTCAGTGGTGGTGTGCTATTTGCTGCAGGGGCAATTGATGTCATAAGGACATGTTAATTCTTCTCATATTATTGTAGGATATTAAATGAAATTGGAGATAAATGTTTTTTGTTATAAATATATATCTTAATAAATCTTTTAAAGTACAAGGCATAAATACTTTAACTTTATCTTATATGCTCTTATGTTGATTTTAATGTTCTTTTTCCAGAAAAAGTAGTTCTCGTTTTAAAAATTAATCTGGAGGCATTTTTTGTTCTCTGTATGCTAATTTAAACAACAATCTGTGTGCTCAATAAAGAAAGGGATTTTTAGGCACAACTGCAGTTACTAGAAGTAGTTTCTATATGTGGAAACAGAAAATTTAATTATTGGGAGTAGCAGTTCTGCAGTTCCTAGAATTAATTGCCACCCACGGAAGGAGAAAACAAATGCCCTAAGCCATTTACACAATCAGCAAAACAAATAAGGTATTTCAACCAGTAGTATTTGAATTATTTGTCTACACATTCACAAAGAGGAAGGTCTGCTTCCCAGTGGCAGAATTATTTAAGAGCAAAAAAGGCACTTTCTACTTC